CAGGGAGAGGTCATTCGTTTTCATAACAAACCACTCCTACACTGTACACAAATACCATCCTCTGATCAAAACCTCAGACCTGTCAAATCGAAACATCGAAATCGCTTTTTCGAATCATAGCTGCAACCGGATGACAGTTGTTTTGAAATCAGATGATTTTCCTGTCGAATACAGAATGGGGACATCGCTTACTATTCCTCCCCAACGGGGGAGTTTGGTAAAGGACATCCCATGTAACAATTTTGTTTTTTCTGAGGGTTCTCTAGACCATGATTTAAACTTGAAGCATGCTTTGAAACCTCGATAAAACTTTCAATGTTACTTGGGATGATCAACCTGATTCGTACTTATCTCAAGAATTGACCTTTGATTGATTTCTCTCTATATACAATTTATGTGTTCAGTGTGCTTATAAAATTCTGTGAAAATGAATAACAAACCGCTGTCAAACTCATTTAAAAAAATTACAAACTCATCGCGTTCCATATATACTTTCCACGGCGATGCTCCCGTTAGTGTGCGTGTGCTAAACGTCATTATTTTTTTTTATCTATTGGAGCTGTCAAGTAGAGCAAGAGATGTTAAATATTACACTAGTGCCTTTTGGTGGGATAAATCTGAAATATACCGTTCAACATATTTTAGGACGGACTTGCCCATCTTAACAACTTTGCTCAAAACTGTAACCTTCTATCTATTCGACTAATAAAATGGCACACTAGCGCCGTATGGAAGTTGAATTCTTAACTAATCTGTCTACCATCCAATAGGTCTTTCCCGTCTGTTCTTCTTTGCCAGTGTTCAGTGTTCAGTGTTCTTCAATCTAATCCATCTCTCAGGTTTCATCAATCAACTACTCACCATGCCACATCGACAAATCTTTAATTGAACATTGATTTAACATTTCAATTGATTAGCCTATTTGGCTCTTCATCTTTGTTTCATTGGATATTCTAATAAAATATTTGCGTTTTTCGTTTTAGTTAACAGAATCCTCCCAAGGGGGATGTGTTTTATTTAAATTGACAACAGTGATAACCTACCGAGCTACGAGTATAATGCAAGATCACGTATGATCTGATGATTTGATCTCAGACAGGTGTCTCTGAACCTTTCCAAAAAGACCGTTCTACACTCTTTTAGAGTCTGGAACGGCGTCGGAACTCAGATTTTCGCGTCCGTGGAGGACTGTTAAGGATCATCCTCAGGATCTTGTTCTTGATCCTTTGGAGTTTAAGGTAATGGTGCAACTATTCCAGATTGTAAACTCGGATTCCACAGATTGTTGGGAATTTGATGAAGGTTGGCTGTATTTTCAGCAACCGCAGTATTGTATGGACTTGCCAGGTTCAGTCCGAGATTATGAAAACTGACTTAGCGTTGATCAGCCTTCTCTTGGCTTGTTTTTAAGGATTTTTCGTAGTTTCTAGAAGGGCTTTGCACAATCTATGAGAGAACGGATCTTATTGGCAAAATCGTTATTTCTGAGATCCACCATCCTGACCTGAATGATCTTTGTTAATCGATTACAGTTGGTCTTCAAGTTAGGCAGACCATAACGCTGGTACTGCCTACGAATGGTATTACGGGGTCTAATGAGAAAAAAATATAAGAACATTTACTTATTTTCGTAGTGGGATGATCAACATGTGAATAAACGTGTCTAGCCATGTTTCCATTACCAAATCTACAGTCTGGAGATGAAAAATCTTCAAAATCCTCTATATTTTCTTTCATTCCTCAGAACTTCTTCAATTTCCTATAATATTTGTTGACCACCCTGAAGTTTACTTATCTATCCTGGAGTTCTTACTAGTCTTTTGATTTTGTTTCTGGAATCACCCTGAAATTTATTAAATTGCCCTTAACACCTATATATTTTACGATGTTTTCTGCAGTACCGTGATTGTTTTTTTTCTTTCGGTTAAGTTCCCGACATTTTTCTTGTTCTATGTCATGTTTTGAACTTTTTGAAGGTTCTCGCTATTTTCCTGCATTTAATTGAACTACCCTAAAGTACTCCGAATTCACCTGAAGTTGTTGGATCTTCCCTGAAATTCAAAAAACTGCCCTGAATTGCCTAAACTGCCCGAAGATTCGTAACTTCCGATAACATATGTACTTGCTCAACTGAAGTTTTTTAGCTGCTAAGGTTCCAGCAATTTTCCTGAATTTAAAAGAACTGCTTTGAAGAACTTGGATCTTCACTGAAGTTTTCAGAACTTTCCTGAAATGTATGGAACCACCCTTAAAATCTTAAAACTTCCATGAACCTTCTGGGCGTTCTTGATGTTTTCAGAATTTTCTTTAAGTTCTTGAAATTTCCATGATCAGATTCTCAGATCTTCCAGAAGGCCCTTGCAATTTGAATAGTATTAATGAAACTTATATAACGTTTTCAAAAGTTCTTGGAATTTCATTTTGCCGCGAATTTTCTGACGTTCATGGGAATCTTAACTTCTTTGAATTTGTCTGTACATTAATCTTGAAACATTTGTAAAGTTTACAAAAAATTCCGGATGTTCATGAGATCTTTGAAGTTTTTTGAAGCTTCTTAAAGGTCTTGTAAAGTTTGGAACAGTCGTAAATTCCTAAATAAAAAAAAACTGTCGTGAAGTTCATTGATCTTCATCTAAACTCCCGAAAATTTTCTTAGAGCTGAAGTGCTGGGCTTTCCTGTAGTTATTGGAACTTTTTTAAAGCTTATCAAACTTCTCGGAACGATTACACACTTAGAAAAATTCATGAAAATTTAGGTGCTCTGAGAGTGACACATAATAGTGTCAATTTTGACATAAATTTGAGTCAATTTTGTCATAAATAAATTTGAAAATAAATTTTGAACAGACGAGAAATATAGCTAAATCAAACGTTCTTTTCGTCGAGCAACGAACTTTTCAGTCTCGGAGCATTTAATATTACATGACATGTTTGTTTACGTCTCATTTTTATGTCAAAGTTGGATTCTGTCACGTGTAAAATTAGTTATTTCTAAGTGTGCAGGATTCACTTAAGTTTATGGAACATCACTGAAGTATTCCAAATGAATCGAAAAATCTCAGAAATTTCCTTATGTTTTTCTGGAAATTCATGAATTTATCAGACCTTATTTTTTCTGAAATTAGTGGAACTGTCCTCGTATGTGTACCACGAAATCAAAATGCATAAACTTTCATGGTTTAATATTTTAAAATGTTTTGAGTATGTTTACCCTTCTTACAAAGAAGGGTATAGATATCACTTGAAAAACCGACTATCGATCCGAGGCCCGGAGGGCCGAGTGTCATATACCATTCGACTCAGCTTGACGAGATCGGAACATGTCTGTGTGTGTGTGTGTGTATGTGTGTATGTGTGTATGTGTGTGTGTATGTAACGAAATGAATGCGCTCACGTTTCTCAGCAACCGCTCAACCGATTTGGACAAACTCGGCGCCAAATGATAGGTCTTTAGGTCTCATTGAATGCTATTGAACGGTTTTGGAATCGGTGAACCGGTTCCGGAGATATGGCTGGAATAAGATCCGGTGAATATGGGCCTTCACGCTGGATTTAACGGAAAACGTATCAAAACCATCATGCGACACATCAAATTACTACAGAATTCAAAAATAAGATCAATGCAAGTCGTGTTAAGTGTTCCAGACCACATTGGACACACTTGGACATGTTCCGGGTACCCCGGGGAAGTTGCTTGAATATGAATTGAATTAAAACCCATTAAATCACATTAAAATACGATGATAAGGTGATTTGTAGCCTCACCAAATAGACTACACCCGGATATACTCCGGGTACCCACAGGCAGTGGCGTAGCGTCACTTAATGACACGGGGGTGGGGGGCTTGGTCACTGATAATGACAATAAAATAAATAAACTTGAATAAGTAAGAAGGGTCTGATCACACCATAGGTGGATAAATTCGGGTTTTTTCATGTAAATTTACATTATATCATCAATATAGTATTGTCTTAATACGATGGATTTTGTTTCAAGTGTTTGTTTTTATCACCGCAAAATTAAACAGTGGTTCTCAGAATTTCGTGGCAATTGGTAGTTTTGTTCCATATAGCAAAATATTAGGGCCGTATTTTTTATTTTGTCATTAGGGTAACCATTTCCATGTTCGGGTGGTTCAAAAATCGATTTTTTTAAATTACTTTTTTCAAAAATTCACAACTTTTGTACCACTGGCCAATTTTAAAAATTAATACTTCAAGGAAAAATAAAATGATATTTAAAAATTGGGATTTTGTATTGTATGTTTGTGCGATGTACGTTTTTTTAATCATTTTTGAGTTATGTTTTTTTGAATTTATCAAGTTTAGGGTTTTCACTCAATACTCCTATGCGACTAGACTACCATGCCTCTACATTGATTTATAGCTACTGAAACATGGTCACATTAAAGCAAATCATAAAAATCTTCATCAATTTTCTTTCTATGTTGTCAGCGTGCACGCATCTTATATCTTACAGATACAGTATCCCTGGTTGAAAATGTGAGAACGCCAGGCTAAGTGAATATGTGCACATGCTCGGAATAAATTAATTATTTTTTAATTCACTTATAAACGATTACCAAACAGTTCCGTAGTTCAAAATGCACCGAACAGCGGAGGCCTCGATAAGTGTTTACGACTGCCTTACAGAATCTGACGATTAATTAAAGATTTCATTAATATAAATTTTGCATTTGTCGGCAGGGTGTCCCTTTTGGGTAATTTCTTCCTTTTGTCCAGTTACCAGAAACCTTGAAAAGTTATCAACGTTTCTATCAAAAGGACGAGCTTGTCAACACTGGCCAACCTCGACAGCACTTTTCCAGCATGAAATTGTCCTTCTTAAAGATGTGTGAGTTCAAATGGAAATTCGCTCCCAAATCCTGGATAAACATCTACGCTCTTGTCGCTCTCTCCCACTGGTAAGGATATTGCAAAGCACTGTAGCAATTCTACAAGCCAAGTCCCACTCGACACACAGTTGGAGTTTGGCATTCGTGAAAATCGGTCGTTCCACAAAGAGTTCGTTTTCCCGGCTGGCTCGGTTGACTCTCTAGTACCAAAGAGGATTAATTCATTTAGCAAATAGTAATAGCAACAGTAGCAGCAGCAGCAGACCAAAGTGTGTTGTGCTGGGAAGGAAAGTGGGAGGAGATTTTTCACCCTCCTACACCAGTTCCCGTTTCTTGGATAGGCACTTGAAGCCCCCGGTGCAGTGCAGTGTAGTGCTGGCGCGAGGTGGTGTTGGTGTTGATCGGAAGTTTATTCTTGAAGGATATCACTGAGGTGACACTGGAACACGGTAGTGTTTTGGAATGAGATGCTTACCTCTGTTGAGAGGAGCTGCAAGTGGCAAAGGGGAAAAAAATGACGGTGACTAATTATATTCGTCTGCTTTGGCTGTAGTACATGTCCAGTGAGGTAATTCTGCGGTGGTGCAGGAAGGAAAGCAATAACTTAAAGCTGGATTTTCATTCCTTGGAATGGCTCGGTCAGGATTTGTGGGTGGTGGGTGCAAGTGAGCAGCACGGTTCAAAATTAAGTTTCGCTTGATTGTGGCGTACTACTACGGGTTCACGGGAACCGCAATTCATTGCTGTAAACTTAATGGGGGCAAATGCGCTCATAGCAGGGTAATTTTTACGGTGGATTTAACGATGATAATGATGTTTTCCTGAAGCTGTTGCTGGCTCCAAAAGAGAAGAAGATTTCCGTGAACGTGCAGTGAAATTGTCGGTGCGCTCTTCTGCAGTGTCTCTGTTGTTGTGAGCCCCAATGTCTACGAAGTGAACAAGTGTATGTGGCGGAATTCATCCTGGAGAAGGATACATCAAAGTGAAATATACTTCGGTCTACCGTTCTTATGACGGCAGTAGGATAGCGGCTTCGCTTGCGAGTGAAACCATTGCCGCTGGAAAATAAGACATACTCGTAAAAACACTGGATGCTAACATACTTTTTTCGGAGTCACTGGAACTACCCGCTGCCGTCCTGTCCTGGTGATTGCGTGTGCTGACTGTGACCCGATTTGTTGAAACATTTCCACCTGACGATCTCGATTTTCAAGCTCGTAAAAAGCAGCTACCGAGACAGTTACGGCTGCAATTATAATTAAAATTTTCAACAACACACGAAGAAGCGGAAAACGAAAAGTTTAGTGCTCACCTCCGAAAGGGATAAAGAAGCAATTAAAAATTTCCTCGGAAAATTAAATCCTCGACAGCAGTGGCTGTTGGTGCTGGTGGTGGTGGTGGTGACAGTCGAAGAACCCGTAAGGTTTGTTTTTTCTCGGGAAAAATTTGCTTTCTTGGAAAACGTTGCGTGCGTGTTGTGAAACGGTTACCAGGCTGCTTTGAGTGTTGCGTAAAAGGAATAGTTCTGTTATAGTTGTACACGGCAGTGAAGTAAACTGTTGAGAATTTTCTACGATGGGATAAGAAAGCTGAACCTCCTGTTACTGTTCCGGAGACGTGTGGCACAAAGAGGTAGGTTTTAAATAACCCCCATTCATATGGCTTGCCATACCATGTAAGAGAAGTGTATGTGAACATGATTTAAAATTCTAGGTAATTTAATGTGGTTGACTCGGAAATGCATAACAATTCCTTCGAAAATTCTAGAAATTTATTCTTATAGCAGAAAACCACTTGAAGCAGATTCGTTCTTGAGGTTATAGTGTGTTTGTCGAAATTACATCATGGCAAGATGAGAAAATACGATGTTAATTAGAATGCTGCAAGCGAACCACTGTTAGGTGCACAATTTTGGAAGACAATATGCCAATATTTAGTGAGTTGTTGTTTTTTTGCATGCAATATACACACTTAAACAAATCAATTTTAAACGTGACGAAATTATTCAACTTTCATAAAAATGGTGACTGTCGGAGTTGCTAAGTGAACTTTGTGAATCCTAGGAAGCAAACCCGATTCTGGTTTTTGAAATTTTCTTGTTGAATTTGTCTGATGTAACAACATTTGGATTTATTTATTTATTCGTCGTCCATTATTCATAGACCATTTCAGCTACAATAAATATCTAACATCTTAATCTTATTTACTATTGCCTTACTAACCTCGAAAAGAAAGTTTTTTAGCATCGTACTTTTATTCATTGTTCACAATTTAATTTTACACACGATGGACTTCATATACAAATATGGTAAGGGACGATTGTGTTATTTAATAATTTCTGTTTACTTGCAAGTCATCATTCTATATCAAGGTTCAGTTTTTCCCTTGATTTGTTTTCCATCGATCTTGTTTTCCGTGCTGAGCACCAATGCTACCAATGCCAGGGAGGCAGCTTCCACACTTGGACCCTACCTATCGACCCATCAACTTATGAACCGGGACCAACGGCTTTACTTCCCTTCCGAAGGAATGTTCAGAGATGTTATGCCGACTGAGATTGAACCCAGGCCAGGTGGGGTGACAGGTAACCACGCTTACCACTACATCACCGGTGCCGCCAAAGGTTCAGTTTTGGCACACAATGAAATCACGGTTTGTTTTTATCACACTCCGTTTATATCACTCTCGGTTTTATAACGGAAAATGTTTCGCATACATCACGTTTTTTCAGCATTGATTAAATCATTATCATTAAATCATAACATACATAATATAATTGATTTATTGAACGTAAATAAAACGTAAATGCACTATAAAATATCCTTACCTAATGTTTACGATGGTTAATGGTTATGATGTACAATAAAGTGCTTTGAAATTTCGGGTTCTACAAAAGAGGATTGAGAGTTTATATGAAAGAATTCATATATTTATTCTGTTTCTAGTCCAGTGGGAAATAACGTTGGTTGGCCTCAGGGAAGTTTATTAGGCTTCTTTTATATATTATATATTGCAAGAGAAGCATTTGCGATACCTTTATGCCGACGATACCGTACAATGAATAGCTAAAATTTAAAAGATATAATTTTGGTCTATTGTTGAACGTTCTTGTACTGGATACTGTTAAGATTATAATTGGACTTTGTTGATAGCTGGAAATGTTCATATTTCACACTTATGTCACTGTGAAGAAATTGAAAACTTCCGAGGGAATTTCATTTAGTTAATTAAAGAAGTTCTTTCGTGGCTAGGAGTTTCATCCCTACTGGTTTAGCATCATTATGCATGCTTTTTATGATTCTGTATGCTGTTTTTTTTCTCCCAAAATCATTGAAATCTCCTGATTTTTAACAAATAGAGTTTTTTTTCTCTAGAATATTGAAGATTGGATTCATTAGGAGTATTGAGATAATTGCAAATTCGAAATGAGCATGAGCATGATGAACCGCCCCAGGATGCAACTCCGTTATTGCCAGATCAGCTGTTATTACACACAGAACCAATAGTACCAATACTGGTGATCTAAAACTAGACAATACCAGCGGATTTACGTCCGAATGCTGGTCAAGAAAAGAATGGGTAGGAATATGTTATGCTGAATTGATATACTAACGATTCAATGTCGCGAAGGAGCTTGGGTTTGAACCCACGGTATTCTGCTCAGTAAGCAAAATCGGTCGCCACTAGGCCACCGAGCTGCTTGTATCACAATTCAGTTACGATCAGTTTACTGTTAAACTTGTTGTTGCTAGACTTCAATCCCGGGCGTGACCTTACCGACAACGATATCAACTGCTTTTGAGATGGATTTGATATGGTTTTCCTATCAACACATCTTTTATAAAACTCAAACTTTTTTCCCTTGATTTGTTTTCCGTCGATCTTGTTTTCCGTGCTGATCAGCAATGCTACCGACGCCAGGGAGGCATGTGACAGGTTCTATCATTCCAATGGAGAAGGACTTTCTTTCTTAGTAGTATCCAAACTATGGTGAGCTGAAAAGCTATCACCAGTAAGGACTACAGTCAAGAGTCTTCAAGTGATTGGTTATGAATCTTTATTTTTGGGTTTCGGTTTTGTTTATATAGGGTTTACAATTCTTTACAGTTCTTGGCTTAACGTAATTAACCTATTAGTCAGAGTGAGACAACTGGAGTAGCGTGCCTGGAAAATGCATCTTCGCTAGGTCGGCAATTTCGGTGCCCGGTGGTCCTACCCAGTTGTGCAATATGACGCCTATCGGTATCGAGACTGCATTGGCATGGGTCGAACGGTCGAACACGAGAAGAGAGAGAGAGTGTAAATAATTGTGTTCTAACGCCGTGGCGCAACACATTTGGTCGCGTTTGGCTATGCGTAATATGACCTGTGAGTTTTGGTTCAAGTGGAATGACTTGCTGTGCTTACATGGAGGTTTTTGACTTGTACTTATTTATGGGTTGAAGATGTAGGGATGCACATCACACCTTCCCCCTTTGAGAAAAATGGTGTTATGTAATGAAATGGAATGAGACCATTTTTTTTTTTTTTTTTTAACTTTCTCCAGATGTTTCTTTGATGTATGAGTTGAGTTTTGGTTTCGTATTTTTTTTTTTTTTATTTTCAGATACATATATATATATATATATATTTTTGTGTTGTTTAGTACCAAATTTCTTACGTCTTTACTTTGAATATTTTTTCTTGCATGTATTCTAGGTTTTAATGAGTCTATTTTTGTGTACTGTTTGCTGTTCTTTTGAAATTAAATGTTCGATTGTTACATTTGGTTGTTCTATGTGTATGATTTTATATGGTCCTGAATATACGGGATCAAGTTTCCTTCTGTTTTCAATTTTTAACCAAACTGTGTCTCCTATTTTTGTTTTTAATGGGTTTGATGTTTGTGACTGATTTTCTGCTCTCTTTACTTTTGATTTGTCTAATATTTTTTTAGCTTTTGCACATGCTGTTTGAATTTTGTATTTCATCTCTGTTACATATGAATCTGTATTGTACACAGGTTCGATTTTCTCTGTAGATTATTTGGAAATTGAAATTGTCTTCCGTAAACCAATTCGAATGGTGAATATTTATGCTCAGAATGTGGGGTTGTGTTATAGTAAAATGAGTAATAAGACAACCATGAATCCCAATCGTCATGTTGCTCATTTATAAAATGTCTCAAGTATTCGTTTAGACATCGGTGATTTCGTTCTAAGCTACCTATCGTTTCAGGATGGTATGCTGTAGAAAAGTTTTGTTTTATTTGAAGTATATTGCACATATGCTGAAATATTTCATTTCTATATTCGGTTCCCATATCCGTTTTAATTATGGAAGGTGAACCATATTTTAAAATTACATTTTCGACGAATGCTTTAGCAAGAGTATTCGCCTGCTTATCAACTATTGGAGCTACTATAACATATTTAGATAATTCGCATTGGACCGTCAATGCATATCGATTACCTTTTAAGGATTTAGTAAATGGACCAATTGTATCCATTGAAATTGTTTGAAATGTTCTTTCTGGTGTATATGTATGGGTAAATTGTTCTTTTGTCTTGATCGTATGTTCATTCTGTTTACAGAATACACATGATTTTATGAATTTGGAAATTATGGACTTCATGTTTGTCCAGTAAAAGTTTCTTCTCAGTCTTTGGATTAATTTATTGATACCGACATGTCCTCCTAAGGGTGTCACGTGGTTTTCTTCAATAATTCTTAAAATTTCATTCTCGTCTTTAATTATTTGTGCTGGCTGGTAGAATATAAATTGAACGTTCGTTAGCACTTCGTTACATATCTTCTTAAAGTGTTGCGCATTGGTTAGCGAGAATATAATATCCGTTTTTGCAATTGCTATTTGCTTGATTCGTGATTCATTGGCCACATCGTTTATGATATGAAGGTACCTTTCGATATTCGGTTCTTTCAATGCATAAGGAAATTGTGCTTGAACAATTACCTTTTTCACATTTTTTGTATAAATTGTCGCATGTAGGTCGTTTCCTTGGGTTGAAAAAATGAGTTTTGGCAAATTAAACGCGTCGATGTTGTTTATAGAATCGTATGCCATGAGGTGATCAATCTCATCAGCATTTTGAGTTCTACTTGCCATTTGTTGAGGTGTTTTAGTCATAGATCTGGTTTGTACTGACAATACATGCAGATTTTTGAGTTCTTCGGAGTCCGTAGTGATACGTGATAAAGCGTCAGGCCCGACATTTTCTTTACCTTTCACGTATTCAACCTCGAACGTGAATTCCTCTAAATCTACTCTCATTCGAGTCAGTTTAGAAGATGGATTAGTCATTGAAAATAAATAAACTAGTGGGCGGTGGTCTGTTCTGACCACGAATTTTCTACCATATAAGTATGGTCTAAAATACATGATAGCCCAATGAATAGCTGTTAGTTCCTGTTCAATAGTCGATTTATTACTTTCTCCTTTTGTAAATGATCGACTAGCATATGCGACTGGTAAGTCTATGTCGCCATACCTTTGTGATAATACAGCACCGCATGCAATTTTAGATGCGTCTGTGCTGAGAATAAATGTTTTACTGAAATCTGGGAATTTCAGAATCTGAGGAGATAAAAGCTTATCTTTGAGTATCTTGAAAGCTTGTTTACAATTTTCGCAC